AAACTGAAAGCATTTCCTCTAAGATCAGAAATAAGAAAAGGATGTCCACTCTTACCACTATGTTTCAACATAGTTTTGGAAATCCTAGCCACATCAATCAGAGAAGAAAAAGAAAAGGAACACAAATTGGACCAGAAAACTACTAGAGCTCATCAATGAATTTGGTAAAGTTATAGAATACAAAATACACAGAAATCTCTTGCATTCCTACATATGAGCAATGAGAGATCAGAAAAAGAAAACCGTAATTAAAAAAGATACACGCACCCCAGTGTTCATTGCAGCAATATTTACAATAGCCAGGACATGGAAGCAATCTAAATGTCCATCAACAGAGCAATGGATAAAGAAGATGTGGTACACATATACAATGGAAATATCAGCCATAAAAAGAATGAAATAATGCTATTTGCAGCAACATGGATGGACCTTACTAAGTGAAGGAAGTCAGACACAGAAAGACAAATACCATATCACTTAAATGTGGAATCTAAAAGAACAGTACAAATGAACTTATTTATAAGACAAAGAGTTACAGATGTTAAAGCAAGCTTATGGTTACCAGGGGATAAGGGATAAATTGGAATTGACATAAACACACAAATTTATATATATATATATATATATATATAAGACCTACTGTTGCAAAGAGTCAGACATGACTGAAGTGACTGAGCATGCACATATAGCCCAGGGAACTCTACTCAACAGTCTTAATGACCTACATGGGGACAGAATCTAACAAAGAGTGGATATATGTATAATTGATTTACTTTGCCATACATGTGAAACTAATACAACATTGTAAATCAACCATACTCCAATAAAAAAATGTTTTTAAGATCTTTTTAGAATAATGTTTTTTTAAAAAACAAAGGTATCTCTAACCTTTTCTCTTTGAAGGATTTTAAAAAACAAAGGTATCTCTAACCTTTTCTCTTTGAAGGAATGTTTTTTAATGATACAAATTATAGAATTAGATCAAATTACTGATGAAACTCCTGGCATTGTACTGGAAGAGAGAGCAATGGTGACAGTAGATTTTGAGCATAACAAAACAGGTAACTGGCAGAATACTTCCTAGTTTTCATTCCTGGGCTAAAAAAACAAAAACAAAAACAGTACATCTAGCAAAAGAACATCATTTAGGGAGACGAAAGACATCTCTACAGGTAGGAGGCAAGAGTGTTGTACTAGATATTTAAAAGGACACAGGAAACTAAGACACAAGCTAAATGGTTAAAACTGATTTAGAAGAAAAGCAAAATGTTTTGATTTTGCAAATCATTTTCGTACCCACTCTTGCAGCACTTCACTGTTTCACTGTCAGTTTTATTTAGTAATCTGAAATGCTTGTGAACCAAATCATAAACTAGAATTAGTGATTTATTTTAAAAATTTTAATCATGAGTTTAAAATGGGGAGAACACTTGACACAGTTCTATATACCTCCCAAAAGGAAATAAACATTGCACACTATAACAATTTTTTAAAAGCATTAAAATTATTTTTTGTAAATCAAATCATATTTAAGATGTCTAAGTGAAGTTTATAATTTGAAGGAACTTTGTGCGGAATCTCAAAGATATAATCAGCTTCATGTCTTAGTTTGGTAGCTTTCAAGCCATGTGATCTTGGCCAAAGTATTTACCTTCCTGTGACATCTGAATCACAGGTGCAATTTTTAGAAATCTGAGTATTTCTGAAAAATCTGTACAATTTACAAACACACATAAAGATCTTACAACTCCAGGTTATAGTTTCATTAGAGTTTCCAAGCTGGTAGGTCTCAAAGTGCAGAGTTCCTTTGTAACAGAGTACTGCACTGATCACAAACACTTATCCCAAGAAACTAAAACAACGTTGAAGCTGCAAGTTCTCATTCATGGTCAAACAATTTAAAGAGGATGTTCTTTGTAAGCAGTTGTCTACTTTTTTTTTTTTTTGGTACAGGTGTGTGTGCTTGTCCTGAATAAAAAGAATAATATGTCCAAGGGATAAACAGTGGAAACAATTTTAACTGCTCTTCAGAGGGAACAAATACTCTCAGTACTGTTTCTACTTTCAATTCTAACATCAAACCAGTAATTCCTTTTCTTTTTCCATGTTGTGTTCATCCACACAAATATCTAAGAAAGAAAACTTCTCAGAAAGGCTTAGGAAGAAACTGGTCTACAGAATCTTGAATCCTTGATTGGGGATCAAAGACTTATGTCTTTTTTTTTTCATATTAAGTCATCACTTTCATAAACATTCTTCTGTCTACCACAAAGCTAGAAAGCCACATTTTGGCTTCTTTTTAAAATATTTTGCTGAATACCAGATGGAGAAGGACCAGCCTGGAGGGCACATTCACACCTTGGCCCTGGGCCATCCTGGCATGCAATTCTGTTCTTAAATTCTATGATGCTCAGAGGTGCAAAACTATTCCATGTTCCCATCGCCACTAGGAGGTCTTGTCTAGAAATGGCAGGGGATTACAGAGGCTTTCTCAGGAAAAAGACTTGAGTCTGGATTTGCACCAAATATTCTCTTTAACTCTCCAGGGCTGAGTTTGGGGCACTTTATTTAGTCTAGGAAAGATTTCTTTTTATGAAGACAGCCCAAAGGGCTAACAGATGTACCTGATGACAATGGCCATTGGTGAAGCTGGAATGCAGGGTGAGTGCTTAGATGGCAAATACTGCTTAGAATCAAGTTTTTTAAAAGTGTGGGTGGGTTTCCACCAGTGCTGATCACACTTGGGGAAACTGTAATCCTGGGCATATGGTGTATCTATGAATATGAGAAATAATCTATTATTTATAGACTTAGGGTCAGTTTCTATGCTTTGGTGGGTTTTCCTGGTGGCTTAGACAGTAAAGAATCAGCCTGCAATGCAGGAGACATGGGTTCAATCCTTGGATCAGGAAGATCCCCTGGAGAAGGTCATGGCAACCCACTCCAATATTCTTGCCTGGAGAATTCCACAGACAGAGCCTGGCAGGCTACAGTCCATGGGGTCACAAGGAGTCAGACACAACTAAGCGACTTACACTTTCTATGCTTTTACTGGAATTCAGGGTTACTGAAGGTGAATTTACCATTCTTGGACTCTATAACAAGGCTGGCCATGTGCCATACTGCATCTGCTGTGTGGTGCCATTTCTGGAATATACTGGAATATTCCAGAAGAGCTTGCCTCCTTTATGGACATATATTGTCATTTCTATGAGTGAGGGTGTGGGCAAGAGATGAAAAAATTATCCTATTGGTTAATCTCAAAATATTTAATGCTCTTCAACTTAAATATTAGAGCATGACTGTGCCAAGATTTAGGGAGTTGTAAAAAAGAAATGAAGACGGAGGGTCAAACAAAAATCAATCAAAATATAAGATTCCTACCTCTCAGGAGCTCATACTTAACTGCTGAGACAGGCACAAATAGTTAATAATAATGGCTGCCACTTGTTGCATACTTCATAGGTATCAGGCTCTGTTTTATATCTTAACAACTTATTTACCAGAGACATATCAATATATGCCTTGTTATTTGAATGTTATTGACCAGAGTGTTTCAGTATTCACTTACATAACAAATTGCCAGCCACAGTTGCTAGATTCTGCAAAAGTCTCACAGTCAATAATGTTAACTAAATCTAAACCTTAAAATAGCCCAGTGAGCTAGGTGCTGCTATTGTCCCTATGTATAGATAAAGAAAGAGAAGGATAAAGTAACCTGTTCAGAGCTGGTAAATGATAGAGCTGCAATTCAAATGAAGGCTGTCTGGCTCAAGAATCCAAGTTATTTGCCATAGCTTCTCCAATTAAGGACTTCCCTGGTAGTTCAGATGGTACAGAGTCTTCCTGCAATGCTGGAGACTTGGGTTTGATCCCTGGGTCAGGAAGATCCCCTGGAGAAGGGAAAGGCTACCCACTCCAGTATTCCTGCCTGGAGAACTCCGTAGACAGAGGAGCCTGGTGGGCTACAGTCCATGGGGTTGCAAAGAGTCGGACATGACTGAGTGACTAACAATTTCACTTTTTTCGCTTTCTCCAATTATAGAATAAGTGGTGCTACTTATAACTGAGTTCTTACAAACAACAGAAACAGAAAAGGTGGTATAGAAACTGGATTTTGAAACATGAGGAAGACAGGGACATTCAGGCCCTGGGGAAAGGAGCAACAGCAAGGAGGAAGCCCTGGGTGTGGCCAAAGGAAGGTAAGCAGACCAGTGTGCCTACAGCGTTCAAGGGGCAAGAGTGGAGGAGCCTGAGAGCTAGGTTGTTACTGGGTTGTGTAGACCCTGAGTGCCTGGCTAAGGAATGTGGTCCCCTCTCCTTCCCCCTTTTTAAAATGTGATGAAGGACATTCATGAGAAAGCTTTTGCTAAAGGAAATGACAGAATTATACTTGCAGGGATGCGGAAAAATAGAAAGAAATATGATGGGTAAACTAGGTTAAGAGACCTAATAGTTAGGTCTGCTTCCTTCCTCCTTTCTGCACATCCCCAAAGGGGTAATTCACTGACCTCGTGATCAAAAGAAGATACTATACTCTAGGGCAGAAAAGTTGTGCATCCTAGCTCTGATCAGCTGGTAGAGTCTTTCTGAACTGATGTTTAGAAGATTCATAGGCTACATCCAGGCTTAGGTAACAAAGGTTTAATCACCTGGTGATGTCTGCCATGGGTGCAGAGAGGGGCATGCTGGTGTTAGCAGGCATGTATGCTGTCTCTATTCCAGGTGACAGATGCAGAGCTAAGCCTCCTTTTTTGTTCCCCAAGTCCACGTTCTGTGAAGATGAACCATCCGTGACCCCTGAGCTTGTGAATATCACTCTTCAAAAAGATTATTTCAATAATGATTTAATTCTACTCTGCCCTTGATCAGTGCTTACAGTTCTGAACGCATTCACAATCTGTTTCAGAGAAATGGACTGTGTTTAAATGATCCAGCTCAGAATTTTGAGGACTAAGAAAAATTAAAGGGCACAAGAAATACCAGTGAGGAACACTCACCTTTTTTGCCCCTTGTTCCTCTTCCACACCATCTCCTATGACAACATACACCACTTTTCTTCCAAACCTCTGAATTATTCTCTCAAAACAGCTTTCCTTTCCTAATGAACAAAAGTAAATTATAAAAAAAATGTAAACTTCGGGTAAGTCAGCACTCTAGGACTTAAACTTTTTATATAAAATGCTTTCTTTATGCTTCTGATCCAACTCTATCATACTTGTGTGAACTAGGAAAAGCATGCTTTTACATGCCATTTGGGGAGTATGCGGAACAGCACAATACAGGAAAAACTGTAAATGAATTACCCACATGGTATCCTGTTCCTGGGAAATTGACAATTTTAGTACTTTTTCCTCCAAGACTCATTTATTAAAAAGTAGGATCTAGTCTTTCACAGTATAAATTTGGTAGAAAAAGTATTGTTTTGTAGTAGTACTTTGCCCACTCTGAGCTGAGACTAAACAAAATCATGCCATTCTGCTAATATATTTTAACTTGATTTAAAAAATGTTTCATGATTTATCAAACACTGAATATAATATCTGATTGAAAGGCCATTGAGAAGGATGCACAAAACTGAAGGATTGGTTTTGTTACGGCAAGAGAAATCAAACACCGGACGTAGTTTATCCCTTCATTTTCAGGTTGGAATACTTCTTTGAATCAAAGACACCCCCAAGGCCAAATGTGTTGATTGGAAATATTCTTGGAAAATTATTTCTGAAATGAATGTCAGGTAATTTGGGGCCCTACCAGATCATGCTTGCCTGACCCAGGCATCTAATGTTCAGTAAAACACTTTCCTAGAGGAAAAGCGGGATAAAGGTAACAGGATACCTTTATCTGTCTATTATCTTTCCCATGTCAAGACTTAGTTTGGGCTCCAGTGGCAGCTATGCTGTCAGCACATCCCTGCGGTTAATGCAGTCATTGTTGCTTCACAGAACAGGAACTGGGGTTCCAAGTCCAGGGCTGCCAATAAGGTCATTTTAATGGACAATGGGACAGTTTATAGTTTTCAGATGTGAATGGCTGAGCGGGACCTGTACCTCTTTCAAATAAGGATCAGATATACACACGAACAAATTGCTTGTTTGCTTAAACAAATGTCTGCTTTATATTTGTATTTTGCACTAAAATCTCTAGTTTGCATCTGACAGAATGAAATGGAGCCAGCCTTATTCAAAGATGTCATTTCAATGCTTCTGTAGTTGCTCACTAACCTGTGAAATATTAAATCACTTTGAGAAACAAATACAAAGGCTGGTTTTCACTGCAAAAAAATATACAACCGAACACTTGGATGTCATGAAACTTTCTTTTCCCCCTTAGAGGGAAATGTTTGCATGTTTTTGTAAAGTTTCCTCTTCATGGGAAAAGGAAGGTAAACTCAATGTGACTTTAAAATAAAGCTGTGATGGACAAATTCTCACCCAAGGTTCATTGTAAACACACAATAAGAATTAATAAACTGAAGCTCACTTTCAGAGGTTAATTTGAGGTCTTACATGGAATTTTGATTTTGATGTATCCATTTTGTCTGAAAGAACATCACAGCTCTCTGCTGAATGAGAGACCAGTGCCTTTCCTTCTCCGATTTTGCCATTTTGCCTACAGGAAAAAATCCCTGGTTTTTCTGTACTGATCCCCATATTACATCTCATTTGATGGCAAGATTAGCAGTAATTAACAGGAGTTTCAGTCTCTATTTTTATTAGTTAAAAAAAAAAAATCACAGGAATGTGATTCTACCACTGGTTTTGAGATCATTTCTACCACTGTACAGTATTTAAATTGAACTTTTATTCTATACTGAAAAAATTCCAATATTGCAAACAATATGTCCATTAAAAATACTTTTTTTGTTATTATAATTTCCTATTATCCTCACATTTTCAGATTATTTGGGATTAAACTTCAATTTGCAGAACATGTAATATACTACTATTCCTTTCCTTCTAGGAAGTTAAGTACTATCCCTTGTATATTATATGCTTATTTGGAATATGTTCTTTCTTTCATGTGCCAATAAAACCTTATCTTGGATCCCTGTTCACAAAACATGATTTCTCTTAATTGATACAGATAAAGACCTGAGTTAATGGAAATTGATTACTAATTTATGTGAGAACATGTAAAAATTCTGGGTATATCAGGCTACTAGGAATTCTTTGTTTTATAAGGGTCTTCTAGTTTTCTGTTCTTGGCCCTTCTCAGGAGGCAGCAGTCATTCTCAAACTCCAACTATTTCCAACTTTATAGGGTTATTTGACTATCCTACAGTTCTTCAAACTCACATAAGTAGGATCAAACTCTTATTTTTGTCATCAAACCTGATTTCCCCATCAGCTAATAGTGTCAATACTGATGCAATTGCCTAAAAGAAACCTCTATTGTCAGTTTTCTTCTGAATAAACAACCATACATTCATCCATTTCATTCAACATTGAGTACCTACTATGTGCTAGGCCCTATGGTTACAGTGATGAATGATACAGACAGACTCAGTTATCAAGGAGGCTGTGAGCAAATAACTAAACAAGTACTTTTTTAGTGATAATTTAGTAAATTCTTTGAAGAGAGGAACAAGTCAGAGATAGATAGTCTGTTTTGCCCCTTTTTCTTTAGCCAGAAACAACCTTCTTCCCACTTACCAAGACACTCATCCTCTGTCCCTAGGACTCAATTATGTAACATTCACCTCATCATAGAAACATATAAGGCCACTTAAAACCCAAATCTACCTTGCCAGCTACCCATGAACACTGTATTTTAATCACCAGGAAAACTCACAAGTCCCTCAGCAGGGAATACATTTTAATTTCTCTATTGCTTTGTTCTCACTAGCCATATGCCTATATAAAAACTCTTATATACCCTTCTATACCCAGCTCTAATGTCATACCTTCCCTTTAACTTTCACTGACACTTGCCCTTCTGTCTCCTTCTGAGTGGGACTGAATGCTCCCCCGCTGAAGTGTACACTTGGGCACTTACTGGTAGGATCCCTCAGCGTGTGGAATGGTTTGCTGGACCTTAAACTCAGAGATCTACTCTAACCCTCAACTTTACTAGCTATTAACTTAAACTGACTGACTGACATCTCTGAGATTTAAGCTTCCTCAGTTGTAAAATGAAAAGGTTGCAAAGATGGACTTTAATATGTAAAATGTTTAGTACAATTCTGGGCACCTAGTAAATACTTGATAAATGTTCATTTATATACCACTGAATATTTTGTCATACTACAGTTATTTTGTTGTCTGTTTCCTCTGCTAGACAGTGAATTCCCTAAGAACAAGAGCCATGTCTTCTTTTAATTCCTACTTTTGTCTTGATTGATATTTTAAGTAAATTTCACAGTAATCTTTCTTAACTACATTTTCTTCTTGCAAGAATCTAATTTTTTGATCCCCATAACAAAAATGAGAACTTAATCATTTACACATGTTAAATTAAAGCAGAAAAAAAATAGTTCCAGTAATAATAATTTATTGGAGTTGCCTAATTAAGGCTGCTATTAGTTATTTCTGCTTTGTATATTTCTATATAACTACTTGTTCTAGCTTATAAAATAATTTTTGTTGATGCTGCCTAAGAGAATAAAAATAAGATAATAATCTGAAAATGATGCTAAGTTGACTAAAATGCAGAAGTTTTAATGTCAGCCAGTGAAGTAAAATTTTCTGAGTTCAGTTACATGGATTATGCTTTATATTTCTCTTGATATCTAAAGGCAATTTTGACAATAAAATTGGTTTAAACATTATTCTAGTTTTCTGACATTTAGAATTCTGTAAATAAAATCCTATTTATTGCCTTGCATGTTCACTAGCCTGAAAGCAAAAGGTTGACTGTTATATAAATGATTAAAAAGTAGCTTACCTATTTTAGTTGCACTGTAAATATTTTCTATTGGAAATACAATTCCTAAACCATATAGCAAGACCTTCGCCAATGCTGGGATAAGCTGAGTAGTTGTTACTAAAATATTCACACAGTTCGTTCTATGAGAACAGAAAGAAAAAAAAATACAGTTGAAAAATAAGTCTCCAAAATGAACAAGCAAAGCCTGTCTTCAGGCAGAGGCCCTACGAAGTGACTTGGGGACAATTTACCGGGAGTGAATGAGCGTGAGGGCTTTCAGGGCCAGTGTCAACCAGGAGTCTGTCAGGGCTTCAATTTCAGCCCTCAGCTGCAACCAGGCTTCCCTCTTGGCTGGACCAAGCAGACCTGTGGATTTAAAAGCAAAGGAATTACTTCCTTACCAACGAGTCTTGCCAACTTTAAACATTTAAAACTACTCTAATACCGCCCTCAAGCTTTAGGTGTACTAAGCAATTTTTCACATACCATTCAACAAATATTTAGTACTGTAGGGGACATCTATTGTTTCTGCATTCCCAGCATCCCTTTTTCTAGTTCTAGAGGTCCTCTCTTCTATTGAGGGAGCCTACTCACCCCTATTCCTCCAACTGCATAATTTGGGCAGAGACACAACACCGTCCTCTGGCTCCCAGAATAGGCATATGACCTTGGCTTGGCCGCTGAAAATGTCTGGAACTTTTTTGTTGACTCTATTGGGAAAGAAGTTTCTCTACCCCATGGAGGTGCTGGACTGGTTGAATAGAAGTCTGGGTCTACTGGTGGTCACTCTTGCCACCTTTTGGGAGGGACTGACCCCAAAGGAAATCACAGGCCAAGGATTACTGATTGCATCACCAGAGCATCTGAATTTAGCCATGCCAGAAACCAGCACCACCCTTAAACTTTTCATTGTGTGGTAGTTGCTCAGTTGTGTCTGACTCTGCAACTCCATGGATTATAGCAGCCTGCCAGGCTCCTCTGTCCATGGAACTCTCCAGGCAAGAATACTGGAGTATGTTGCCATTCCCGTCTCCAGGGGATATTCCCAATCCAGGGATTGAACCCAGGTCTCCTGCATTGCAAGTAGATTCTTTATCATCTGAGCCGCCAGGGAGGTCAATATATTCCTTTTCACATAAAAGTCCTTTAGAAATATAATCAAAAGATGAACTAATACAAGCATCTACCTGATAGAAGGATGCTTTATGATTCTTCTTAAGTCCTTTAGGCAAGAGGTCAAGAAACTTACTCCAATAAGATTACTAACTCACACCACTGCTAAGAAAGGGAGCCAGGACTAGATTAGCCTGGCCAGGGCAACTGGCTCTAAGTCTATTATTCTCTAATTCAATCACAGCAGAATAATCACTGGGTAGATGAAACTACTTTCAGCAAAAGCTTTTCTACCCAAAAAAATGTGATGTAAATGTGTGATGCTCTTGAGTATTTCATTGAGACTGTCTTAACCAACCCAGCAAGCTACTGGTGATAGTCACTTGCCTCCAACATTATTTTTGTAGGTATTGTAGATCTCTTTTACTCGTCTGTAGCGGAAGGCCAACTTTCTCATCCAGTCTACACCGCCCCGCACACCGGTTGCCAAGCATAAATTAGCACTGGTTGCTGCAGCAGGAAAGCCATCTGTTCCAAAGTTATATGTGCTATTTAGATGCAAGAAAAGCCCAAAGTTAACCAAAGAGAAAGTTCATCTTAATGAGCTGAGCAGTTAAACTATAACACGGGGCCCATAACATCCCAATCATGGGCTTACCTTAGGTCTTGTCCATTGTCATCGGAAGAGACATCGTCTATGTGAACTTGGTCACATTCCTAAAACACAATTAAAATTGATACATGTTAATTTTCAAAAAGCATCTACATTTTTTTTGGGAAAAACCATACACAGCTATTTAAAAACAACAACAACCAAACACTGAAATTAGTAGAGTTTGCCAACTGCTCAATCAGTAGGTGGCAGTCTTGTTAAATTGACATTTTTACCTACTTTGGGTCGTTTTTCAATGTAAGAAAGGAGCAATGTCAATAAGGACTACTGTTACTCAGGTTCAGAAAACACATTTTTGTGTTTAGAAAGGAAAGTGATTGAAAACAATTAGCATATGTGTTCCATAAACCTCAGGTACCTGAAGACATCACACTGCTCCGAGCTGATTCAGTCAATGCCGAAGTGTAACTGAAACCAGACATTTCGGTAAATCTAACATGCTAGAAAAATTAAACCTGATGCTAACTGCCAATGAAATTATGACCTTTGATTGCTGTCGAGCCACACACCAACACAGCCTGAGGCCAGCGTGGAGCCCAGACCAGAAAATCTGTTACTAGTTTGCCATTGATTTGAGAGATGTGAGTTTTATTTTGCTCGCGCGCGTGTGTGGGTGTGTGGGGGTGTGTGGGTGTGTGTGGATGTGTGTAGGAAAAAAAGCATGGGAGACTTCCCAATCTAAAAAAATTAACCATGAGGTTTATTTTTTTTTTCTTCTACTGTTTTCAAATCTTAACTTATTTTCCCTTTACTGTTTTTCTGTTATTACATTATTCATTTTAAATAGTGGGTTTATGAGTTGATTATAAAATAATATGATTGGAACAGACCTGATTTTAAAATCCCACACCATGCATAAACTGTTTAGAATAGTGGGTGTACTTGTGGGTTAAAGCCCAGTTGGACGGATTCACACTGATACACCTGCTCACATGTAAGCACTTCTACATCTTACTGCTGTGCCCCAGCCTCCAGCATCTTTGTGGGAAGAGCAACACTCAATAAACATTTGTTGAACAAATGAAGGCAAACTATAATTTGGAGACAGATATGGTCTCTAGTCCAGAAACAAGTAATACGCACTTGGCATGTTTTAATATTTTAGCCATGATTCTTCTCTTGGCAGTCAGCCTCCAAATACCACAGTGGCCTTTCTGACACTTATTTCCATTAAAAGTTTTAGTGAAAAAAATCTTATAAGAAATCGGCAGGCGTGCATCTTGTATTTTAAAAGGTTCTTTGGACTAAAGCTCTAGTCATCTTTCCCATAGAGTTCACCTCAAATCTATCCTATCCCTCTAGTGCTTGACATCCAATGTGTAACAAAGATGCCAGAGATAAAGCACCCTAGGAATAGAAGGTGGATTTTTATGTTGCCAGTTCCTTCTGCACAAATTCTTTCTCTCCATGGATTTGTGAGGAAGGGAGCAGGAGATAGAAGTGGAAAGAAACTCAAACCAGCTGTTGCTTAACAGAATTAAAATCCTGACCCCAACCTCTTCCTTCTAAAGCATCTATTTTCCAGGCAACCCTCTCCCAGCAAGCCGCAAGTTCCAAGGAGGAAAAGGCTTTGACCTTGTAACCCTTCCCTGCTCTCCTGAGGTCCATAACCCCAGATAAGAAAAAAAAAGGAATAAAAGTCTAGGAGGCCTCGCAGGCAGGACTGTGAATTTTAAGATTTTAAAAACAGGTCATTCCTGCAAAACATGATGGGAAATTTCTTCGAGTTATTATACATAATTCGGAGGGTGAAAGATGAATGATAGTTGTGTTTTTTCAACAACGTACTTATTCTGGGTTGAAAGAATAACTAAATCGTGACTTTCTACCATCTAGCCATTCCTCTAGAAATACAGAAATGCTGTTGGTACACGACTCTGTTAGGGTGTGTGGTTAGTTAAAACACAAACAAATGCGAAAAAGGGTACTCCCGCAAACAAACAGAACCCCCCAAAGCTTCGGTGCTGTTAATGCAGGATTTTTCTCTCTGGGGAGAAAGAACAGACAGAGGGAGGAAGTTGGGGACTCAGAAGAGGAAAAGATATGTTTAAAAGAATTGAATTTAAGGAATCAAAGCTGACCCAAAGTTACTTGGTTAATTCTAGGGGTGGGAAGAATGCTTTGGAAAAACAAGGTGTTAAGAGGCTTTTCTTAAGCTAATGCAGTTGTAAATCTCCATTACTAACAGAGCAGCCTTATCTTCTAATGACTGTTGATGACTCTACCACGGCTATTGTCTGCCCGAATCCTGCATTTGTTTTCTCCTGCCAGCTTTCCTTAAGGCTTTTTGTTCCCAGGCTGGGCCCTCATTTGAAGTACTGTTCAATATCTTGGTTTACTCTAATTAAGGGTCAACAGCTCCCAGCCTTTTTACCTGCAGATAACCAAACTCACTTCACAATGATCTGATTAAAGCAAAGTCTGGTGTGACAGCAACCACAAAACCCTGCTGTTTCGCTGGAGAATTTTTTTTTAGAACTTTTTCTCTACTGGAGTATAATCGATTAACAATGTTTTGATAGTCTGAGGTGGACAGCAAGAGGAATCAGCCATAAATATACCTTAGCCAGAGAATTTTTGTAGAACGATTTAAATCAAAATAGATAACTACTGAGAACGTACTCAGGGACCGACTCGGTGCTCTGTGGTGACCTAAATGGGAAGGAAATCCCAAAGCAGAGGAGATGAACGTGTAGCTGATTCATTTTGCTGTATGGCAGAAACTAACACAGTGTTGTAAAGCTCCAATAAAAAACAGATTAATAAGGAATAGATTTAAAAATCAAGAGCATTTTTAAAGGGCCTAGTTGGCGCTTCTAGGAATTAAAACATCATTAAAGCATCTATGTAAAATGTGTTTTTGGGATGGGCTCTCAGTTTACTTAATAGACAAGTAGTCTGTTGGACAAACTTGCAATTGATAACATGGCTTGGCGACTGAATAACAATATGAAAGATGATAAGTCCTATTATGAGTTTACAAATAATGGTATGAATGTCTTGGGAAATAAGCTGTGTATTTTAAAAATTTTAATGAGAAACTATAATATTATTATTTTGATGCTTACCCATAAAAAACTAACTCCTCAAATGGAGAATATTAAAATACTGAAATATCATTTCATTTCTCAGCTGAGCCCTGTAATGTGTGAACTTGTACTGTGTACTTACTGTTAAATTAGAAAACTGCAGTTCCCTGCATTCTGATATCCTGAAATTGTCTCCTCCATGGTGATAAGGCTTCCCTTCTTTCACTTTTCAGAAGACATCCAGCTTTTTGCCTGTTTTCCTAAGAGCCTAATTTGAGGTTTCCATTTTTGCTTTCTGAATTTGGTTGCTTTTCATTTGCAAATCTATTCTAAACCCAGACAATTAGGTAACCAAAGGATAGGAGAAGAAACGAAATCAATGAAACAACAACAGCAACAAAGTTTAAAGCCCCACTGCAAGAGTCTATGGACACTGAAGACAATAATGGAAGCTTTCTATATTTTCAGGGGCCAAAATCTATGCCTACAAACCCTAATTAGATACTTAATACACAGAGTGCAGAATATATATAATTTCATGAGAAAATACAGTTTTGTTCCCAAAAGACTGAATGTGCTGAAAATGTAATTGAAATAAACTTCCAAAAAGTATGCAATAAGATATTAAGGAATTCAAGCCATTACCGAATCCAAGTCTTGGGGTAGCATCCACATAGGGGCCTCCCATGGCCAGTTCAACCAATCTAGTGTTAATTAATTGGTCATGCATTATTCTGGCCTGCTGAGGCTTGAGATACCTAAGGAATCCCAAACATACATGGGTGTCAGGCTTGGGGTCTCAAGTAGGGGTGTGAAGTAGTGATTTCCTTGTCTCCTGATAGACTTTGCACTCAACACGGATCCAAACTGGCTAATGGGTGCTTTGGGTTAAAAAGGTGATCATTTATTTATTATTGTGTCTGATTATTTATTAAGGAATACCTGTCCTGGGTATTGCTGTAGATGCTAAGGACACACCACTTAACACAAAAATCCTTACCATCTTGGAACTACCATTCCAGTTGGGACAGACATCCAAACAAGAAAATATGCAAAATGTACAATCTGTTAGACAGTGCTAAGTGCTAAGGAGAAACAATACAGCAGGCAAGGGGACTATGCAATGCTGTGGGAGTGTCTGGGGAAACAGCTTTGCAGGCCAAGGAAAGAGCAAGTGTAAAGGCCCTGAGGCAGAAGGGGAAGAGTTACATGGACCAGCAGGTGACAGGGACTGTCAACGCTGGTCCTCTACTTCTGAATGGCTGCAGGGTGAGGGTGGGGGAAGGTGACCTTGTGGAGGCCAGCCGTCCTTCTCTCTAGAAAATACCCCGCAGATGCAAAGAGACTCTGTGCAGTTAATCAACAGGTCTCAGAGGTAGGAAGGAAAGATCTTAAACACAGTTTCTTTTAACCCCCAAACTACAGATATGAGAACTCATTTGGAGCTGGAAAGGGATCAAGAGATAGGCAGAGAACTATTTGTTGTTCATAGCTTTCCAAAGGGATGTCAAAATCAATGTTTTTGTATAAAGGTTTACATCATGTCAGGTCAATACTAGAGGAGTATATAATTAACATTTTTATTTAACCAGTTTTAACATATACCCACATCCCTCAAAGAGCTTCTAAGAGACAAGCCAGTGCTAGGCAAAGTTGTGGTTATCCTTCACTAGGTAAATTTCATAATTATTACTGAATTAGACATTGCTAACGCATTGGGCCCACTGTTCCCACCCTAAGCTCAGTCCCTCCCTTTCCAGAAGTCCTAAAGCACCAGGAATACACCACCCACTGACACTAGATTACGAAGGTATCCTGTCTTGACAGTCTATATATCCCATGAAGAATGGATTTTTCCTTCCCTCAAAGGATGACTAACAACTCCAACAAGGGCTGTTTTCTATATGTGTGTGGTGGTAAAGAACTCCCTGGATTTTGGAGGAGACATAAGAGAGGCGATCTTGTTCCCTGGGTTGGGAAGATTCCTTGGAGAAGGGCATGGCAACCCACTCCAG